TGAAGAGGATGCGAGGCGGGAGGTGGGCCGACTCACCAAACGCGTGGTTCTCCGTCGTGGTAGTGTTGTCGGATTGTCTCAGTGCCTGGCTGCGATCAGGACAACGTTGGCTTGGCTCGTTTTGGCGCCCGCTTTTGCCGTGAGAACGGCCTGAGCAGTTGCGCCGCGTGCGTCTGTGAGGCGGCAGTGTGCACATGTCGTTGTGGTGCCCGGCGGGCTGTCGTCCTGCCGAAGGACACGTCATGCCGACAGGAGCGAGAGGTTGGGCCCGTCTGCCCGGGGCCGACTGGTCCACCAGCTGGCACTGCCTCGAGGTCGGCCTGCGCTGGTCAGACGGCACAAGAGCACTGCTTGAGTCGGCCAACAGATGGAGGCGGAAAACCACACTCGTGTAAGTGATCAAAGCTCACGTGAATTCAGTTTTCACGTTCATGAGCCCATTTTATGCGTATCTTTTGCCCATTTTTACCATCACTCCTGTGACCTCGTCCCAACGTCTTCAGGTGCATTTTGAAGTCCACTTCTTCACAGACTTATCGACCAACCGCCAGGCCATTATCGGGCGGTCAGAAAAGGTAGGGATGTCGTGTCGCCGGTAGCCTCAGAGGTCGTCGGTACTGCCACCGTTCGCGAAGACTAGCCCCTCTCTTCTGGGAGGACGTTTGAATGAACTTGGTGCACATTTGTCGATTCTTATGAGCGTTTTTTTCCACTTTAGAACTCACTGCAGGGCAACTCCATTTGTGACACGTACAAAGAGAAGGGCAAATCGCACAGGAAGAAACCAACCGACCCGGAGATTGCATTAAATGTAAGTTGGCCAACTTGCATTTTGAGAGTGTAGCCCATGATTTATCGTGGATTAGGCCGGAACAGATGAGAGGCCATAGTCTGACCTAGTTTTCGCGACACGGTCGTGTTGTCAGGGTAACTTAGTTGGACGCACCTTGTCCGAAGTTATGACATTTCCATACGTCGGACTGTAGACTTGGTACATTCTCAGACGTTTCGCCAGCATCGTAATCGACACCAAGCTGCAACCTGTCAAAGAGACAAAGGAAGTCTATCACCAAAAGTGCACACCTCTTGAGGAGTGGAATATAAACAAGTCGGAAGTTGTGATTGGGCGAGAGTGGAACATGTGGGTATGGAGTAGATAGAGGGGCCGGGACAGAAACAAGAGTCATAGCACAACTGTTTTGGCAGAAAGTTGGCCAAGGGTTTGACTGTACTTGTCTCTTCGACCAGTTGTAACTTGGTGCAAGACTCACCGATGATGTCGACTACAATGCCGATGAAACGCTTGAGAACGTAGCAAGTCCGCGGTCCGACGCTTGGACATATGAGAACCGCTATAGCGTCGTACTTAATCGCCCTGACAACACGACCAAGTTGCGAAAACGAAGTCAGACCATTTTTATACATCTAAAGAAGACTGCGAGCAAAA